AATCAACTGTATAAGATTGTATGTGTAACCAACATTTCAGAAAGAAAACAAATGGCAGCATGACTATAGCCCCATCTATTGGGCTGGGATGGAATATCCTTGTGTTCTTAAGAGTTGCTGTCGTGCTATCTTGCATTTGCCAAATTACACTTTCAATCAATTGTTTGCAATAGCTCTGAATATATACCACTGCAGTCTGTCATGTAAAGTATTTAAAAAACACTAAACACTAAATTTGCAACTGCACTATTTTTGGAATGTATCTTCTATCTGCAGAAGGTGATTATATAAATATATCAGTTATTGGATTTAAGATTCATATATAATTATAAAGTGGCATCTGCTAGCTGCAGTTACAGTAGTGTCATATCAGTGTACCCCTTTGAATGTATGATGGATTGGTAAAACACACAAATACTCCTTAAATCTTTCCTAAGCACTTTGGTTATCTTTTTTTTAATCAAGACTTTGTGTAGGAAACATAGACTGCCTTCTTTAAAGTCATATTTAGCACAAAAAATGGGTAGCTAGTCAGAAGAAAAATTCTCCCATTACAATTGGACAAAGTCCTATCTGATTTAGCTGAATTAAATGATGTAGCTTGAAAGCATTTTAAATAGTATTTTCTTGAGATTAATGTTAGTAGTGATTGAGTTTCAGATATTTTGCCAATTTGATAATATAAGCCACCCCCTCCATTTTCCAATGTCCTTCTATGAAAGTTTCTTCCTAAAAACTGAAAGACAAAAAACAAATTGAGGGACAAAAAAATGTTTGCAGAATGGCATTACATTATTAAACTACAGGCTTAAAATGTTGTCAGTAAAGTTCCCACATGTTATTTGATTGATTTGAGAAAATGGTACATTTGAAAATGCCGATGTTGAAACTATATTACTTCAGCTTTTTGCAATAGGTCCTTGAAGACAAAATTTTCTTATCAAGTTGATGTGCCTTAGCTGCCTTCCAGTTTGGGGAGAAGACAAATTCTAAATAGCTTCAGGCCAGAAAGCAGATTATATTTCCAGTAGTCCCAAATAGATAGAGTATCTTTAATGAAAACATGTTGAGTATTTACTTAAGTCTATCCCTATGATATTTCCTAAACAAATAACTTCCAAATCAAGGCATCTAGAGTAAAGTGACTGGCATTGGAGTGTCCGATCCACTGAAGCTTTGAGAGTAAGTTGGTGCAAAATATAATAAATCATAACTCTGTTGTATCAGACTGATTTAGTCATAGTTATCCTTAAGAGTGTGGGTTGACTTAGGAGAACTGATGAAATATTAGAAAAGTCCATGGATTAACATGTTTCTACTGTGCAGTTGATTAAAAAGTGTTGTTGATTGTACCAGAAAGACTTGAGGTGACATTAATGTGATGTGTGAACAAACTAACGAATTGTTTTAGGACCAACTGAATTCCAGTAATAGTTGGCTTTATATTCAGATGTTTTAGAAAATCTATCAAGTCAATCCTGATAGGGAGATGTTGAAGGGTCCAATCAGAGAAAAGGGCCATATTGTTTCATATTTGGTTCACTATGTTCACCAATAAAAAGTCTTCTTCAAATCATATTCATATTCTGGTGACTTCATGGACATATCCTTCATTCACGTAACTTTCATTGAACAGTATAGAAGTTATAGTTGGACAAATAGCCTTGTCTAACACCTCTATGGAGATGAAAGGCATAAAAGTCAATTCTTTATATCAACTCATAACAATGTAAATAATTAGCCTGAAAAGCCATGGTAGAGTTAAACTCAGAAAGCATCTGACAAAGAAAATACTTGATAGAATTCAGCACAACAGCTTTCTTATCATGGGACTCAAAGGATGGGTTTTTCTCTCTTGTGCATTATATCAAAAATGTAGAGCACTTTGTCCATCAGATATCATCAGGGGAGGAATTCCACTTGATCAGAATGGATGTATTGAGTGTTGTTGTCCAATCTATCGGTTAAGACAGTTGTAAAGTTCTTCAGATCCTAATTAATGAAGGACATTGAGCAATAAGAGGCAATCATAGGCCTTCTCCATTTTATCTATCAGTTGTTTTCTAATACTCATGAACGGTATCTAATTAGTCAAATATATGCAAAATGCCTCAGTGTTTTTCTATAAGAATTATATACAAATATGCCTTTTTGCTTTGCTTGTTGCTTTGCAAATGATAATTGTGTGGCTCCAACAAATTCACTATTAAATTGCATTTATACTGTAAAGCATCCCTTCTTTATTATCTATAAGCATTTCATACTGGCCATGTAGTACACCATGTAAAAGAGAACAGAACAGAAGAGGACCAAGAACCTGGGAAGAGCTAGCATCAAGGCTGACACATGAAGAGCTCTAGCTGCAATTCCAAGAAGAACTGTCTGTCAACTTAAGTAAGCAGCTTTCGGTATGTTATATTACTTATATTACAAAAAAAGATTCCATCATGCATGTCTGGAATTGAAACAACAGCGACATATATAGTAATCATTGGTACAGTCCTTAATGATTTATTTCTCTGTCTCGCTATACATGTAATATCAGGAAAGATTCCTTCTGTGCATGTTAAAAAACAAAAGATATTTTACCAAAACAAACCAACTAGTAAGTACAATTCTTCCTATGCGTCTACGCCATTAACCTCCCTCCAGCCTATCTATATTGATATCAACATAAATGTATCATTTGTTATTGTCACTGAAGATAACAAATATATCACTCTTCTCTGCAACAGGGCAGGGGAACATCACTTGAGATTATGCAAAGAAGACTTAGATCATCTACCTCTTCAGCCTCAGAATCTTTAATAATCTACTAAATCCTTCTATTCCTCTCTCTTTCCTCTTCGTATAAAATGGGTAGGGGGCAAGGCTATCTGAGGCATTTTCATACACCACTGGGCTGGGCTCAACCTTCATTTATTTGATTGTTACTGTCTTGCTAACAGATCTTCCTTCTTCCCTTTGAGTCACCTTTTGTACTCACTACAAACTATATGCCCTATGAATATTCTCCCAGTTTGCATATGTCACCTTGGAGTCTACTAAAGTTCTTGTCCTCACAATAATACATAATACTGAGTGGCCACATTCAAGGGAATTCTGAGATTTATAGCTCTGACAAATCAAGAATCTGGAAAGAGCTAAACCACATGATAATTCCACAACTGTGGAAGTAGGAATTAGGAAAAACCACATGCCTCATCATGACATCCAGACTGTCATTCTTTACTTCTCTGTCTTTGTTACCTTTACAACAGTCTCCAATTGATCGCAAGTTCTATATTACATGTCTGTTTTGTCAACATCACTGCTACAATTTTGTACATTAGTTAGAAGCCTTTAGTTATAACTGTTATTTATTCACAAAAGAAACAAAAATAATTTTCCACATGAATGAGCAATACTGTCTTTTTTAACAAAAAATACAAGTAAACATAAGGCTTTAAAATACTAGATCTTGCCTGATTTGTGATAATAAGAACAGAGTTGTCCAGAAAAGTTAGAAGCTCCCACAAAATGTTTTGATTGGTAAGTCTTACTGTATATTGGTTGCCTTTGCTAATTATTGAGTGTTGATCTGATTTTAATAGTGGTTTTACAATGCTATATTGATAAAAGGTCATTATATGCAGTATTATCTAATATTACTTTGATTTTTTTCAATTTTATATAATTTTAAAACCTCTTTTCAACTTCTTTTTTTCCCCTCTTTTTCTTGGTTATGCTTTCAAATAAAATGAGTAAAGTAAATTAAAATATTATTTAAAATATACAAACAAACCACCTATGAAACAGCCCTAAAACATGAATGCTCATTTGGAAATTAATAACTTATAATTCATTGAAGATAGACCTGGTATAATTATATTTCAAAGGTTCAAAAGTGGGGGGGAGGGAATGCTTCAGCTCTAGTTATAATTCAAAGGCAAAGGGATTCAATGTTATATACGATGTTATTTGTCAGCAGGGATAGCAGAAACAGCTGACACAAGAAAACATCAGGCTTTGACAGAAATGCCAGCCATTATCCAGCATAGATAAAGCGGATTTTTTTAGGAGCAGCAAACATTTGGGACAGTGCTTGTGTTAGCCTTGCGCCCATTTATAAATGTCGCACTCATGAACAATTTAAAAATAATATTTGACCCAGAAGAATATACTGGGTTGGGTAACCATGAGCCCATATTAAAATGTTGTAAGTTAAGGTGCTCTGTAACATCAGATATGTTATATTCCATTAGCATGATAAAGAGCAGAGTTCAGTCTTGTGATTGGCCACATTATAGAAACTGGCAGTTGAGAAAGTAAATGAAACTCAAATCAAGATTAGCTTTATCAATTGCTCTGGTTGGCAGGCAATTGAATGAAATCATACATGAGATGCTGGTTATTCACGTCAAGGTCAGAGTGTCTATTACACATCAGTTCCGCCCACTTTCAATATTCTCAATATATATTCTCAATATATTGTCAATATGAAGTGAATTGCAACAATGTACTGTTTGCAGCATTTCCAGCAGCAGTAAAGCCACTGAATTTGCAAACCAAATCAAACTACTATATATTTATTAAATTTACTACACCAAAGTGGGTCCTTGCTTCCCCTTGCAAATCTGCTTTGATAGGGTGATTTGACCAATTTTTTTGTCAAATCAAAGAGTTTTATCTTGCCATAATGGAGATCTAAAACAAACTAAAGGCATTTTGATACTTAAACCTTAAAATGGCTTCAATTACTTTGCAATAGAAATATCAAACTCATCTTGTTCAGAAAGCTCATCTAACAAATACCTTTTTTCCTATGTTTTACTTCATTCATAATGATCAAGTGTCATATAAATAGCACAATACCATATAAGGTTTCTACACAGAATTCCTCCATAAAGGTGAAAAATTCACCTTCAATTTTTATAAAGGTAGAGAAAGAGGGGATTTTTAAAGCAGCCTTATTGAATTTTAAAGAACACATTGCTTTACAGGAAGGAAGGAAGGTTTACCTTTCTGACTGGACTCAACATACTCTCTGGAGATTGCATGTTGACAATGGCTTCATCTACTGGCTGAGACATAGATGGAATCGCATTTCTGTCAAGGGGAAGTGCTGGCTTTTGACCTTCTGATTCAGCAGAATCTTCACCAATCTTTCATAAAGATAATACATAGATATAATAGTTTATTCAATCAATGACCAGCAAAATAAAGGAATAATAAGCACATGGCAGCAAGATCACTTACACTATATAAATAAGATCATTTATATTATCCCCCAAAATGGATACTTTTCAGGCTTCATACACTGTATATATAGGTATATTTTACATTAACTGCCTGCATTTGGCTGCCTAGATATCACCAATTTAGGTGTTGATATCCATTTTTAGCTCTTAAATGTCCTTACCCCCGCATTTCAGTGAACACATCACTTCTCAAATGAACTTCATAATTCTTTCAAAACTTCTGAGGTCACTTTTGACCACATATAAGAGAAATTTATGAGATTACGGAAACCTGGGAGACCATCCGTTGCTGGGAATCAGCTGAGTGGTAAAAATTGTCCCCAGGCCCTCTTTTTCTCAGTCATTTAATTTGAATTTTTGTTACTTTTGTTTGTTCAACTTTATTATTACTTAAAAAGAATATTATTTGAATTAAAACACGGTAAATCACATTGATTGCCTTTCAGAAGAAAATATATTAATAACTTTTATAAATAAAAAAGATCGGGCTATCTTAAAATAACATTTCATTCTTTTTATTCCCTTCTCAGACAGCATTTTCATTCCACTGCTATTTTAAACTTATAATATCTATTATAAAGAGGAAAATTTTACCGAGCATTCTCACATCATTTCCCCAGATAGTGAATCTAATCATAAATTTTCCCCAAAACTGTTTTTTGCCCTGGGGAAAAATACCAGATTTCCTCCCAGAAAAAGACTAACTTCTTGGGAAGATGGATTTTACCCCATTTTTTTTTAAAGGTAAAGATTTCATCTGTCAGACATGTCCAACTCTAGGCTCTGATTCACAGCCAAAGAGTCAGCATTGTCTGAAGACATATGTGGTCATGTAGTTGTTATGACTATATGTAGAAGGTGCATGGAACGCTGTTACCTAGAAGTGGTAGCTATTTATCTATGTGCATTTGCATGCTTTTGAATTGTTAGGTGGGCAGGAGTTGGGGCAGGAATGGAAACTCACTCCATCACATGGTACAGGCCTCAAACTGCCAACTTCCAATTGACAAGCACAGCATCTTAACCGCTCTGCCACCTTACAGCATGGAAATATATAGAGAAAAATCACTCCTAGTTATAGACAGGGAACTTCTCAATGGATTCTATTTAAACAATGTTTGGTATAACTTTAATCCTATAGAGTGACATGTACAACTTCATTCTTTTCTGGACCTGTCTGACACCATGTTCTATCCCATCATGCACTAACTTTTGATTTGTTAAGTATTCTCCTTTAGGGCTTGTACTGGTCTAAGAGACTGGTGAATCTAGGTATCCTACAATCACATCAAAGCAAAAACAGGACAGTTAAAACATGATAATATTAATCCACCATCTTTTCCTTGAGGTTATACTTGATTTGCACCCCATCTGATCTGGTAAGCATGCTCTCTTCTGGGAAGGCCCAAAACATTTAAAAGCAAAAACAAATATTAAAAAGCTTAAATAAATGTTACAGTTATCTAACAATTCTTCACCTGGAGAAAGAGAAACATCTTTACAGATTTCCCTAAAAAAATGAGAGAATGGGAGCCAAACACAATACCCAAGAAACTGTTCTGTAGCTCCGAAAACTTTGAAGGAAGGATATCCTGTAACTCTAATTTTCACATAAATTTCAAGGGGAAAACTGAATATTTCAAGCCTAGCTTAAATATCAGTTATCTGGTAAACATATCTACTTGGATTTATTTAAAATAAGGCTAAGAGTTAGCCTGTGGTAAGATGGGCGGCCAATACATTTTACAAATAAACAAATAAATAAGGTTAAAGTAGCAATTATTTCTTAATCTGGGCTAATAGTCTTTTACTCAATCCTTCACCAGCCTTGCTTACGACTGAATATTCATAAACATTAACAAAGATGCCACCGAATGTAAAAATCAAAAGAAAATAAATTTAGTTAGCTCACTTGCTGCACTTCTTCTTGGTTTTGCTGCTGAACCGTGGTTGGCTGCCTGACAATGTAGTTTATCTGGCCAACAATGGTTTGCTGAACATGCTGAGGCTGCTTGGCCTGATTGAGCTGCAGGCTTGGTTGCTGAGCCTGAAGGAGAAGCTCCAAATCTTTCTTCATTTCCTCCAGTTCAAATTGGTGGTGCATGATGTCCAAGCTCTGTTGTATCACTTGTTCGTGAGCCTTCTCATTTGGGCCTGCTGCAGGCGACTGCTGCGGTGAGAGTGGGGGTGGGGGTGGCAATGGATGTTCCTGTTGTGGTGGCTGCGGCTGTGATGGCTGCTGTTGCTGTTGCTGCAAGTTATTCAGCTTTAACTTCTGGAGGGGACCAACTTGAACCTGCACCGTTGGACTGTGCAGAGAAGACTGTGCAGGGAGTTGCTGGGAGTGACTACCTTGGCTTTGATGGCCATCCTGTGATGAAAGGGGATAAACAGGTGGAAGGGCATGGTGCATTGGCTGCTCTTGGGAGTTCTTGGCCAACCTGGTAGTTAGGCTATCAGGCTCTTGATGAGATTTCTGCTCAGCACATGGCTGCATGGTTTTCAGCATGCGTGGGACACACCTCTGCTCCCTCTCATGTTGCTGCAAACTGTACTGCAGAGAGAAATGCTGCGGGTGGTGCTGCAATTCAGAAGGCTGGCGGAAAGGCTGGGGATGGCTCACAGTTTGATGAGAGAGCTGCCCTTTGTTCATATGTGGGATATTAAGGCAATGGGCACAGCACATGGGTGCCAGGCAATGGACAGAAGGCTGAAATTGGTGGGGCTGGTTACTGAGTGGGTCATGTTGTGGCACTGGAGAATGATGGCCATGATGGTGATACAGAGACGGCTGTATTCCTTGTACACTTGCATAGGTTGGTACATCTGAATGGTGGCTTGGCCCCCCTTCCATTGACAAGTGGCCTAAAAAGAACAAACCAGAAATAATGGAGGACAACATCAATAGTCCCCATTTTAAGATTCTTTATCCAGAATAGGATAATTTCATGTTCAGTAAAAGGTGTAGAGAAGATAACCATCTAAAAGCTTTCCATCCTGGAAATTCTGTCTTATACAATAAATATAAGAGCACCAGGAAAGCAGCACTGATAAACTAAATTCTGAAAGACAGTTCTACTCTAAAAAAATAGTATTAAGCGAAAGTAATGGTTTGATCCAGTGTATCAGTACACATTTTTCAATAGGTAAGTGTGAGACTAATATATGACTAAAAAACTGTTGATATTCAATCAAAAATGCTAAGCATCAGGAATCACAAAAGGATAATGTGTGTGTAGAGTGTGCCCTTTTCTAATTGCAGTCACTCGTTGTCTGCCCAAAAAAAACACTAACGTACATTGAAGGAGGACACTATAAAATAGTAATCAATAGAATATTGATCCATGGAAGTCCTTAATAATAATCAAAATAAGGTGCCATAGCAAAAACTCTTGGATGGCACTTAAAAAAATCTGTGCATCAACAAAATGTCATCAATGTTTTATTTTCAATATAGCAACAAGAAGGAAAACGCTAAAGAATCCCTTGGCTCTGTCAGTCAACCAAAACTCTCCACTGACCACAGAGAACTGCTGGGACAAAGATCTTTTACTGGGAAATGCCCAGCTTGCAACTTCTTACAATGGGCTCTCCTAGATTCTGATTGTGCTCTGTTCTGTCACATCCAAGATTTTTTTGAAACTGTAAGAAACAATTCTAAGCTGGTTTCCTCATTTCTCAGGCCACAAACACATTGGAGAAAGGAAAACATCACTCACATAACATAAAGAACAGCTTTTTCTCACTCTCTCTTGCTCTCTCTCTCTTTCATTTTCTCTCTCTCTCTCTCTCTCTCTCTCTCACACACACACACACACATACATATACACACTTTCATTTCAAAAAAAATGTACAATTATATACTGTGTTTCCTGAAAGTAAGACTTATCTCGAAAATGAGCCCTGGCTTGATTTTTGGGGGTAGGCCTAATATAAACCCTAGTTTTGAAGCAAGGTGCATACCTAAAAATGAAGCTAGGTGGGGAGGAGGAGCTGCCTCACAAGTCCCGCACCCACTTACCAAGCCTCCCATGAATTGACACTTGTCTCTCCTCACCAGCCCACTTCTTCTGCAGGATCCCCCGGCCTGCATTTCATAGTCAGAGGCCTTTCCAAAAGGCCTCTGCAGCTCAGAACCGAGCTATGGATTCAATCCGTAGCTTGGTTCTTGCCTGCAGAGGCCTTCCGGAAAGGCCTCTAACTGCAAAATGCAGGCCGGAGCTCCATTCTCAGCTGCAGAATGAAGCTGCTCCTTCAGCCACAGAAGTAGTGGGCCAGCTGGGTGGGGCTGTCGGTGCCACCGCTGCGAGGTGAGTGGAAAAGACACCTCCCCAAAATAAGACCTAGTATCTTTTTTGAAGGCAAAAAAAACCCCCTGGTCTTATTTTTGGGGAAACGGTAATATACTTCTTTTTACCTAAATTGGATAGTTGTTTAGTCCAAAAAGATGGGTCCCATGTAAATCTGATCTTCCAAGGAGAACACACATCTGCATTACAATTGGTTTCTAGCAAACGCTGAATCTGAAAAACAATCTAGTAACAAACCAGAGAATTATAGTTTGATGCAATAAATATATAAGTTTTATATTTGGTTACTTGTAGCTTAAGACTTGAAATGGGCACCTAGTCCTACATTTCCATTATTGTTCCCATTCACTATGGGCTTGCTTATATATTAAAGTGGAGATTTCTAAGCTATTATGAACTGAAAAGAAAAAAGGGGAAATTTTATTTCACCATAAAATAAATTATCTTGCATTTAGACTCCGTTTTATCAGCATTAGAAAGTTTGGAGGCCATAAAGCTTGGCCACTATAATAATTAAATGAGGATACAATCAACATGGCTGGCCTGAAAAGCCATTCCAGAATAATGTTTATTATACTTTTTCTTAGAGGCTTAATACACCATTTACTTCTGTTGGGATGACTATTTTTATTTGCTTAAAAGAAACCTTTTAAATGTTTTATTCATGGAAAAAAGGCACTTTTGACCTATCAGTACTACCTTCTTCTCATTGTCTGCTTACAGTATTTCTTTTTCTTCACACTTTTTCACTGATCAGTTCAGAATGATCAATCTGAGTAATTTTATAGCAAACTGTTTGTTCATTTAAAAGGTCAAACAATACTTTAGACAAGAAGCCCATGTAAAGTATCCTGTAAAGCATTTACTCTTACCAGTTCTTTACTGAAGAGGAATGGAACAGTGCTTTTACTGCATACTGCCCAGCTAAGAAAGTTTTGCACATGTTCAAACTGTCTGTTTAACATCATGATGCCCTGAAGCTGTTGTTCCATTTTTTGCTTCCTTTCACTGGAGATCCGCTGTCAACAATCAGGAATAAAAAAACAAACAAACAAACAGTCATTTTAAAATATAGTTGGTTTTGTAAAAATAACATCTATAAAAATCCACAAATTAGATCAGGAGCAAAAAACCCAATAGACCCAAATAAAATGGTTCAAGTCTACGCTCGGCACTCTCAGAAAATGGCTGCCATGGAAGAGTGATGTGTTCACATAAAATTTAGGCGTGGCCTAGAAAGCCACGGCTGTTCACAAAGTATTCATTTCCCAGAAAAATGAACTGTTTTTGTAGCTCTCTACCATCACATAGATCCTCAATAATTTGATGACTGTAGCTTAGTTTTGTCTCTTTTTTCTGTATAGATGAGCAAGTATCCAATAGAACAGTCAATCTCCATTTCTATTTTTAAAGATACTCTGTAAGAATTGGATGGGACCTGGAACATTTCTTGTAAATATAGTTGTCAATACAGGCAGAAGTTTTGGTTTTAGCACACTGGCTAATTTATTTTTAATTAAAAATATATTTGAAAATCAAGTCAGGTTATGGATAAACACTAATGTTTTAACCAATAAAGAGCAGTAGAAGTTAGTTTTCATTCATCCTCTTTTCCTTAGAACAGAAACTGTCTGCATACTAATTTCCTGTAGATTTAGGATCACATTATGAATCCAATTGATGGTATACAGCTGGATCTCTCTTCCAAACTCAGTACTAGCCCAGGGTATTGCCAGACTTACTTACAGAATAAAAGTATCCTTCCAAGTTTTATGTTCCCTCAGCCTTCCCAGGTAGATTGGACAGGAAACATAACCAGAGGAGCTAACTCCACTGTAAGGCAACATTAACAGAATCTTGCCGTCTTTTTTACAGTCCAAGACATCATAGGGGTTTTCTTCTGAGCTTCTTTCTTTGCCCATTATGCATCAGTTGCCTGAGTCCTTTCTTAACATTCCCTAGGCAGCCTTTCTTTCCCCCTCCATCTCCCAAGGTAATTCTCACAGAGAATTATAACTAGTGAATTTATCAACCAATCAGTGCTGCACTTAATTGGCATCTTCTGTTTCCTTATCTTCTTTGCGTCAAGAAGCCATCCTCTTACCTCCAATTGTTCAAGGAGAACATTTGTCCGCTTATTTATTTCACTGATCAGGACCATTTTGGCCATTTTGATCTGATTTTCCACTTTTCGTTGCAAGTGTTTTGCTTCAAATAATCTGTAGAGAGAGATTTACGATTTCAATAACTATAATCATGTTTCAAAATGTTTGGAAGAAATCATATTTATGGAGGTTAAAAATACCATTATCTGGGTTATCAATGGTAAAAACCTGTGCAGAATGAGTTTGTATATGGATTTTATGGCCTGAAACTTTCAAGTTGCAGGGTACGTTGATCAACCTAATATTTACTTTTTAGCATTTGTATACAGATAACAATTTAAATGACACACTTTTCCCTCAAAAATAAAGAATAGTTTTGCCAATATTAAGTACTATCTTTTTAAAAATTATTTGCCAGGATTTTTGAACCACTATTAAATGTACAACATTAAATATTTATTTGCCACATAGCAGTGTTTCACTTTTTATTTTATGGGTACTTTGGTATCCATATTCACATCTTGAAGAAAACCAACCTAATGTTCCAGCACTTTCTACCCATAGAATAAGTATTTCAAATAAATAAATAAAACAAAATGAAATAAACAGGTCATCTAAATGATGCCACCATATAGGTTATACTGAGAGTGAGAGTCTCCTAGCCCAGTGGTGGTGAACCTATGGCACAGGTGCCAGAGGCGGCACTCAGAGCCCTCTCTGTGGGCACGCACACCATCGCCCCAGTCCTAGGCCTTCAGCTAGGTTTTGTAAAACCTTTTCGCTTTAGGCCTCTGTCGCCATGTAAAAAAAAAAAAGATTCAGTCAATTTCATCTTCTCGCAGGAAAAAAAAGATCTTGCAAAGTTGGAATTGATTGAACTTTTTAGTCCCACCCAGTCTGCTGTTACCACTGCAGCCATGCCCACCCAATGGGCCACACCCACCCAATGGGCCACGCCCACTTGGCACCCGACGATGCATAAGTGGGTTTTGGGTTGCAGTTTGGGCACTTGGTCTCTAAAAGGTTCGCCATCACTGTCCTAGCCTATACTAGGTTACTTACTGCCAGTAACTCACAGTCCATACCAAATTACACCTCTGTAAACATCTGAAAAATGTGAGTAAAGAAATCAAATCAAAGAGGAATCCTTAAAAATGTGGAACATTCAAACTTGATATGAGGATTCTCTGATAGCTGAGGATTATTAATTAGTGCACCACAGCTACAGTGCTTTAAATAACAGCATGACTGTATGATGTCAATCCACAGTGAAAGACACTATGAATTTGAATGGGTAGAGAATTTACAAAGTTGCAGAGGCAGAAGCACCAAATCACTCTCTAAGTTAGTCTCAGGAATTAACTTTTAGAATTACAAATCAACTTGTCAATGAAAAAAACCATTACAGAATTCATATTGTTAAAAGAGGGATCTCCTGTTACCTGTCTTCAATATGTTTAGCTGAGACTTGCACTACATTTTTTTTCTCTTCTACTTTGCAGGTTATGTTTTCCAGGATAACCCTTTGATTTTGCAAAGCTTCTTGAAGATGCCTGAATCTAGGGAAACAAGAGAAGTTTTACCTGGGTTCAAAAGGCCAATCAGACAGTTTCCCCAATAGCTTGCCAACCTCTCCTCTTAAGTTCGATCCCTTCAAAATTTATTTCTATTCCTTCTTCCAATTCTATAGGAATTAAACAGTGACTCTGTATTCCTCAACAACATCCTGCATAGCAGAGATGGGCAACATATAACCCTTGGCCTAATTTTAGGCAGGTGTGGGAAGCCTAAAGCCAAAGAAAGTGGGCAGGAAGAGAATAGCAATAACAATTAGACTTATATACCATGTTATATTGCTTTACAGCCCCCTCTAAGTGGTTTATAGATTCAGCATATTACCCCCAACAATCTGGGTCCTCATTTTACCGACCTCGGAAGGATGGAAGGTTGAGTCAACCTTGAGCCGGTCAGAATCAAACTCCTGACCATGAGCACTGAATTAGGCATTCTACCACTGTGCCACTAGGGCTCTGGTGTGAAGGAGGAGCCTCTCCAGTGATTATTTCAGATCTGGGCCTGTATCAGTGAAAGCTTGTTTGATATAGTGGTCAAAAGAATTGGATTAAAAACTGGTAAACTAATCTAATGTTAAGCAGAAAGCCATCTGAGTGACTTTGGACAAATCATTCTCTCTCTCAATTCTAGGAAGAACAAGACAATGGCAAACCACTACTAAAAATACTGGTGTTGGTCTGGAGTAGTCCAGGCCAACACCAGGAGTTGAGGCACAAAAATGAAAAAGGACAAATGCTCTCTCTCCACAGCCCAGGGTTAGAGAAGAAACAAAAAGAAAGAGAAAAGGATGGCAAGAACAAAATAGGTGGAAGACAGCAACAGCAAAAAGGAGAGCTGTATGCTGCAAGGCACCCAGAGTTGCTGTTACAAAGATGGGTGGCATATAAATTTAATAAATAAATACATAAACAAAATAAAGCCCCTATGTGTTTTTGACTCTAGTCCTGCTTACAATGAGCAGGGCCTCAAATGCATTCCCACTGGCCTTACAGCACTGATTTAGTGGGACAGAGAATCTTCCTGGGGTGGCCAGAAACTGAATAGGAGCAGGCACGTGGCTGTTTAAAAACTGAAAGGAGGGAGGAACACCAATAACTTGCTCCAATTCCCTTTTCTGCCTAAGTCTTAAAAAGTTAAGGGACCTTGTCTCTTATTGTACCAAGCCACCTTTGGGCGAGTCAACTTATGGCAGTTTTGATTTTCTACCTGTGATCCTTGTGCTCCGTCAGGAGGCAACAGCGACAGATAAGGACGTCACAAGTCTCACAAAACAGCTTAAGCCTTTCTTGGCTGTGCATTGGACAAAACAAGGGACATTCATTGGCTTCCCCTTCAACTCCTGAAAAAGAAAACATTGCTATAAAATAAGAACAGTTGCAATTGCCTACAATATCAGGCTCAGGCAACAAGCTGGTCAGTCAATTCCTGTCACAGCCCATGGACTGACAGTCAGTTGAACTAAAAAAATGTGTATCCTGCATTTGTGGGAAAAATTCTAGGAAAAAATGCAGATATAATAACATGTTGATTTTTAGGGAAAGATTGGTATAAATGTGTGATTACTAAATGATCTTATATAGTATATTCTGAAAGTTAACACAATTAATCTAGGGTTGTCAGAAGTCATGTATTTTTATATCAATCAAATTTCACACTCATATGTAAATCACATAAACTCTTCATATGCAAATATCATAAATTTATGATGTCCCACTATTTCAATTTAGAACTAAAATGTTTGTAGGGAAAAAAGAGCAGAATCTGACTCTTTGTACAGTGCCTTCAAAATACAGTATGTCCTGTCCTCTGGAAGGAGCTAGGAAAAAACAGAATTAGAAAAAGAGTGTTTAGATGAGTCCACAGAAATTCAGAACCTTTTTCAGTTTCCCTTTTACTGATTGTCCTTTTTGGCAATTTTCAGGAAGGCTATAGAATTTCTTGACATCCCTTCCTTCATATAAAATAGCAGACCAGGTATAGAGAGCTGGCATGTTACTTGTGAAGACTCAAAACACAGATATTCTCTCCCCCAGCCCCCAATTCCCTCTGTCAATGGAAATGCTGCTTGTAGACTTCCCTTCGGCTACTGGGAGAAGTAGAATTTTGGATGATACAGACTTTTGTCTGAGACACAAGGAGTTAAAGTTCTGTTAGTTGACTAAAGCCATGTCATTTGTCCCAGAAGTGAAATAGTCAAGAATAAGAGAGGGATAATAAGATAGAATTGAATTAGAACATGGAATGTTCCCATTAATCATACAGATTTCTTTATCTACTGAGACTTCAAGTCTTTCCTCATTGCTTTTGTTTATCTTTCCCTACTCTCATAATCCCTACTACTATTTATATTTCATTCACTTTTTTCTCTGTTGTACTTGGAATACACCATGCAAGCTGTTCCGATTTGTGCAAATTTGCATTCGTGGCTAATTTGTATGAGCTGTTCTAATCACATCATCTGTGTGTTCTGGAGACCAAATGTAAACCTGTTTCAACAAAGTGAAAAAAAGATAATCTGTTTTGAGCATAATTTTAATTTGCTTTATTCAGCCACTAAAAATTATGTTCCCAACATGGCCTTACCTAGGGACGAGGTCAATCCAGGGCATATTCCATAGTACCATTTAGTTTGATTGGAATCCAGAATATATAAAGTATTTATTTTACTTTATATAGTAGTCCTCAAATTACAACCTTTTGTTTAGTAAACGGTTTAGTTTACAACAGTTCAAAGTTACAACAGTACTAAAACGTGAGTTACAACCATTTTTCACACTTATGACCACTGCAGCATCCCCATGGTCACGTGATCAAAATTTGGGTACTTGACAACTGGCTCATATTTATGATGGTTGCAGTGTCCCAGGATTACATGGAACCTGGCTTCCCTGTTGCTTGTCAGAAAGTCCCAAAAAGTGATCACATGACTCTGAGACACTGTAACCATCATAAATATGAACCTGTTGAAAGCATCTGAATTTTCATCACGTGACTATGGGGATGCTGCAATGGTCGTGTCAAAAATGGTCAGTTTTTATTGCAGTTGTAACTTCAGTTACTTAAATGAATGGTTGTTAAGCCAAGGACTACCTATCTAATCATTCTCAGTATGTATGTGTATGTATAGAATTCTTTTCAGGGCTAATTTTATATATTTGTAATATATGTGCATTTTTTCCTTAGGCATACCTTTTAGTTACAATTCGATAGGATGAAATTTGGAACCATCTGGCAAATGTATTGCCAAATATATTTTCAGTTTATGTGTTATTTCTCCTTAATTTAACTTATTCCTGTCTGATTTTTTACCGTACTTCCTACCCCTGATTTCCTCTAGGTTTTTTTTTTTATTCTACTCCGTCTTATCTTTACAGAATCTAATCTCAATCAGCTATGACAGCCTTTTCAATCAATCAATCAGAATAGAGCTGGAAGGGACCTTGGAGGTCTCCTAGTCCAGCTCCCTACTCAAGCCGAAGACCCTATACCGTTTCAGACAATTGACTGTCCAGTCTTTTCTTAAAAACCTCCAGTGATGAAGCACTGGTTAATTGTATTCACTGTTAGGAAGTTTCTCCTTAATTCCAGGTTGCATCTCTCCCTGATGACATGATCAAGTGATTAAGGAGTCTCTCCTTGATTTTCCATCATGTTGCTCTACAAATATGCTAAACTATAATTTTAATGTTTTGGGAAGCATAATATGGGGCTACTGTGAATTGCATTGTAAATGAGTTGCACTAATTGGGGATGGATGCGAGCTCACTGAATTCTGTTGAGAACTATATTATACTAGCTAAGGCACTCTGTCTCCACATACACAGATCCTATAAGTGAATCATAAATATACTGTTCAGCACGAGAAAGGGAAAAAAACATGAGCAGGTTCCATTTCTACCTGAACACCCCTTCAAGGAGACTGGCAAAAAATGTTCTCCTCCGGCTTCTTTGCTATGGCTGTGTTCTTCAGTACATAAGCTACAAAGCCACTTGTTGCAGTTAGTACACAAACTGTGTGCAGGCCTTTTTTCTTTACAACCAGAGCAGTTCTGTAATAGATTCAGAGAGAAGAAAAATATAATTACATTGAGATGATTCCCATTAGCTGACTGTTACTGTCTCAATAAAAATGCAAATTTGGAAGTTATTCTTTTTAAAGGTGGCATTTGCGGTTTAGTAGGTCAGCCATAGTTTGAAGCACATATAACTATGATGGCGCAGGTCACCTCATTACTAGCATCTTACAGCATTATGTAGCCTCTGAAAGTAATAATTAAAGCAAGATTTATATCACCATAGTGATAGTTGACTATGAGATAATATAACTCGTTAGAGAGAAAACAGTATTAATGGACAATGAGATTTCCACCTCTAAAACACTGTGTTAGAGAGAAAAAAAGTCAGAGGATAGTAAATTGACACAAAGAAGGTTTTAAATTGTGCAGACAATTCATTCTGCTAATATGTGGGTTGCAAACCTCTCTGAACATCAGACCAAAGAAAGTCCTTTCTCAGAAACTAGCTAACTAAATTGAGAAATTGTAGAGATATCCAGTGACATGTTTCCAATAGAATGTAAAGTTTGAGCACATTGTTTAGTGGCAGAAGTAAATAATACATATTCTTTGACATATCACATTTCCAAGCTATTTAAAGTAGAAGTATGGGATTTCTGGTTCTCTTATTATGGCATCCTTCATCATCAGCTATACTAACTAGGGCTGCTGGGAGTTGTAGTTCAATAATATCCATTTCCCATCCTTTGTTTTAATGGCAACCTTTCGTGCTCTGGACCACATACAGTACATTTGACAAGAGAGATGAGACCCATGACCTGTGGTTCTTGATCTCTAATCTTGTTTAATTCGCATATTCAGTGAATGGATAAGGAGTCTGAGAGTTGATTCCCACAACTGAATGATGCCTTGGTAAAAGAAGCTTACAATAAACCAGGAAATCTTTATATGGATGTGACATATTTAAACTATTTCATCATATCCTATGTGTTTCTTTCCATCTGAAAATATATGGGAAGCAACCGGTAAGCATATTCATATCATTTCAATCTGAAACTCTTGTACTATTTTTTCTAAATGTTTATCAGAATTCAAGCATAGCCACAATGCAAAATATAAATGTATCCAAATATAATAGTAAATCACCTGTTGCAATTTTTTAAAAATGAAAGCAAATGAAAACTAGCAGATTCTCATGATCTTGTTCTCCCTAACTATGCTGTTAGAGTAATAAACCCTTGAGTGATATGTGTGGGGGGAAACCCACAAACTGTTCTTGGAAATGTAATTTTCAAGTTGGCAGATCATAACTGGAATGTCTGCCTTCAAATATCTTTCTCTAAAGTCCGTGTTTCCTTTTTTCAGGTTTCCCTCAATTCATTTTAGCAAATGAGTAATAATTCTTCAACAGAAGCACTCCCATACTAGCCAGAAAATTGCCAAAAGTCTCATTGAATCCTTTGGAGTTTGTTGATCCCACACTCCTGCACAAATATGGTTAACTATACATCTAAATTTCAGCAAAAAGTAGTATGGCTATGACAAAGAACACATATATAATTCTTCATCTCCAGATCATACTACAGTACTGCTTAATAAAGAAAACCAAATCTAGCATGTGGCCAGCTATAACTCTTGAGCTAATAACTGCCATGAAACCCTGAGCTGCTTTAACCATTATGGCCTCAGCATGGATATCTAAATCCTCCAGAACTGCCCCTTTGGGTGTCTTCAACAAAGCGTCCAGTTCCCTGTTACCTAGGCTTCCTTTGTGTGATTACTTAGAAGAGGAAGTCCCCATGGGAATTTGCCTGAATTAGACTGACTGAAAGCTCAGGAAAGCTTTTCTCTACACTCTCAGCTTGAGTCAGACTGTTGCTGAAGTAACATCTCTCTTGGGGCTCTGAGATCCTGTTTATGCTTTGCCAGCTCTGAGATTTGTACTGTAAGTTTTATCAAAACTGAGACAATGGAGAGTAAGAATTATCTTTTTGAAAAAGAGCAAGGCTAGTCTACAATAGATATTCCTTGCTATTCAATGCTTTTATACATCATGCTTTTTCAAGTCATTAATAAGCCAGACATATTATTTTCCAAAGGTTTTCCCCCATAGACTTTTAGGATTCCTGAGGATGGCTGATCCTATTTCTTCCTTTGACTTGTTCATAAATCAGAGATAAATAAGAATCACCAAAAGGACTATTTTTCATGTGGGGAAGGGGCTTGACAATCTGTGTCATGTATAGAGATCAAATATAATTTGCTCTGATTCTATATCCCTACACAATTGTGACAATTCAGTTAATGGAAGTCAACACACATTGTAGTACTGGATGCAGCATAAAAACCTGAAAACTTTTAAATTATTTAGCTCTGAGAAAAATGAAATCCCATCCTGCATAACACTGTGTGTGTGCAGACACATGAAATGTATTTTATTAAGGAATTCAAGGTTGAACAAGACAAACCATTTCTTTTTAAGCACAACGACTTCTTTTAAATTACAACTACTGATCAATAGCAATTTATGCCCTGAGTATCTCATTTTCACTTCAACATAGCAATGAAACAATAACAACAAAAAACACTGAGTTCAACCTATACTCAGAATTAGAAAACTAATCTGTAGGCAGAACATAGTAGACTGTTATAATGAAGAATAGGGACACTAGTCATGTCCCTATTATGAAATCGAAATGTTAGGTTTTAAAGATTGTTAAATTGAAACAGATTAAACTACTTTAACCACTAAAAAAAGCAAAACATGGTCTACTCTTATTATCTACATTATTCAATTCAAGTGTGTTAAATTTTCAAAAATAAAGAACGTACTGTCAGGGATACTTAATTAAACATAATAATGCTAATAATGCTGAGAATATACTTTTAGATTAAGAAATGATTTAGTTAATTAGATTCATTTATTAAAAATTCTTTTTATAGCCCCATCAATCAACAGGAGCTAGACAATTTATCCAAATTTGTACCATTCTTAAAGCATGAAAACTCTGAAGTCACTTAACCTGTACAAGGCATAACAACTTATTAAACAACTATAACTATATATACTTACCCTTGCCATGTCTGGCTTTATTGTGACAACAATTCCTATAAAAGAAATCTTCTGTGATGCTACATTCCTTGGTACAGTTATATAGAAGTTATGTACAAAACTGATGCTACCTACATAAAGAGAAGGAAAAAACCATCAGTACCATTCAGAAAATCACATTTGGACACATTTTGCATATTTGCCTTGAAATCTTAAATGATCATGTATATACCTAAGAATTTAGTATATACAAGGAATTAAGTACACACAATAATGGGATATATACTTGGCTAGTATAGGCGCTGATTGCCTGCTGAATACATTACTGTAATAACTACATTGATGAATAAAGCTAAGCCAAGATTTTTAAATCCTGATGTGTTGAACAAATCATAGTGGCCTAGTTCATACATGACACTACACCAGAATGATTATATTTATACACCATGCAAAACCAAAAAATATTCAGCAATATTGTGGACTGACATTAGGGATGAACATTTTGTGACATGACCCAACAGAAGATTAAATAGGATGGTTGGGGATACAATTTGTATGATTCCTGATATCTCTTAGTACAGTTAAGATGTACACAAATTTTGGAAGGCTGCTTACAATTAATGTACATTATTATACTATATGAACTAATATTTTGGCTTTGTATAAGGTAATTTCCCACGTAAGAACTGGCTGTGTTCTTCTAAAAAATTGCCTAGAGTTTTTTTTAAGAAAATGCTCATTTCACAGTGATAATTTTCAAAATCATTATCATAAAGCAAAAAAAGGATGTTACATATGTTACATATGTCATAATAATCTTAATTATTTAATAATTAATTAATAATCAATAATTTGGCTATTTGTATCCTTTAAAATCTATGGTGTTTTTTTGGCAAATCAGATTTCAGCTGGGTAAAAACAGATGCAGTAATGGCTGCTGACTATCCAGAAATAGCTAGAATTATCTTATTTCCTTTTTGCATTGAAATACTTATTATGCAAAAATGGTGCTACATTAACAGCAAGCAAACAAGTATTCTGAGGAAATGGGGCTAGTGTTTATCCTTTCCAAGCTGCCAAAGTAATGAGACAGACCAGATATTTTGTGTGCCCTTTATGGTTGTACTAAAATGTTTAAACTATAGATGTCTGTAAAATACTTCAATATGTTTCATATGATCAGCTTTTATTTCCACTGTGCAATGTTAAATCAGAGTAGATGTGCAAATGAACTTTTAGTCTTGTTATTTCAAAATCTCAGGTTAATTATTTTTTCTGTTAAATCAATACTATATTGAATATGAAGATATCACTCTTCTATATCAAATGCTGAGGCTGAATAAGTTGGTTAATGATACCTCCAAAAGATTTTTCTGTTTCATTTGGAAACAGAATATTGTAAAAGTCGGTCCATCTCTTGTATGTTATTCTTATATTCTGAAAATCATTCATTTATAATATGAAAATACAAATTAGAGGGCAATTTTACACAATTCATCTATTTTAATGTCCCCTGTATTTCAAATAGAAAAATAACCCTTCAGGCCTATATAAACATTACATTATGATGGATGGATGGATGGATGGATGGTTGGATGGATGGATAGATAGATAGATAGATAGATAGATAGATAGATAGATAGATAGATAGATAGATAGATAGATGAAAGAAATAAGATAGACAGAACTTGAGAGAGAGAGAGAGAGAGAACTTGACAGAGAAAGACAGGTCAAAATTATAAATTTTAAAAAATATAAGGTACGTGATAGAGAGTCATGAAGGAATCTATATGATCTTTAAGACTTGACACTAATTTGATGGCACATAATCAAATTTTTTAAGTATAGAATTATGAGTAAGTATAGTTTCAGATATTAATATTATTTATCTTATTAAATGATCTGTAGAGCATTCAGTTAGTAACACATATACTATTCTTATGATTAATTATATTTGTGTCAATGTGTCAATTAAAATGACTTATTCATGGGGTGGGGGCTTTTTATGCATATTATTCTAAGTTATTGCATTTCTTGCTATTAAAGAAAATGACACCCGCACAATAATAGCTGAATTACATATGACATAAACTTGTTTTTAAATGTCTTTCTTTCAAATATGCATTGCTACTATCTTATTTGTTCCATGCTCTTCTAGAGAAAGTTCAGGGAAACTCACATGGGAATATTTCTTTCACAACAACAAGAAAAATAGGTAAGTGATGAATGTAGGAAAGAAAGCTTTAGTTCACCTGAAATGTATGAATTAGCAGAGAGGCAAATCTAATATTTCCTAATTCAGGTATATCACACTGCCCATTAAAGAAATGATAAGAGATATATAAATTTTGCTCTTATATAGCATCTCATTTCTATCAAAAAATATATGGAAATAAATAAAGACAAAACAGTTAATTGACATGTGTACCCAAATTTTGTCAAGGTACTAACATTTAAAATTAATAAATTTCCTAAGATAGTGGCATCTTATTTTTTTCAAAATGTATTTTCAATTTTATGATGTTTTTCATAGTAGCATTATTTTAAAGATGTCCTTATCACTTAACAAATCTAAATAAGAAAACAAAGGAAATTTGAGGGCAATTATGTTGTGTTACTGACCTACTCACATAATATGTATGATATCATTTTTTCGTATTACCTATTTATTCAATTTATATGATTCCTTCTAGTCATTGAGCATTTAAAACAAATTTATCTGATGGCCTTGGAGCCTTATTTTTTTTAATTTCATAGCTGTTTTGTGTGATTAACCATAAATTTCACCAAGCTGTGAAATTGTAGCAGGAATATCTTATGGAAGATTCTGTGAACTATACAAAGATGGCAATCAAAATAGCAAAGTAAAATTATTTTCTGACTTAATCAGTATTGTATTAATTGTTGTACTGATTACCTAGGTTTTATGTACAAGTTAATTCACTTTTTCATTGCTTTTGATTCGTATTATTCTTATAGCATCAGTGACGATAATTTAGAAATTTATTTAAAATAAAAAGCAACAATTAAATCAATCCTTTTATATTTAAAAAAGTTTAATGCCAGTCTAGAAGCCTGGAGAAATTTCTTAAGAGTAAACTGATGGACATCTTCAATTATTGTTCTAAATCAAATTTCAGGATACAGATAGAAATAAGTAATGAACTGTTAGATAAAATCCTCCCACTCTTCTCTTTCCCCAATCAGGGCTACCTCACACATTTCTCCAGTCAGGTTATACACTGGTCTTTTACAGTGTGGTGTCTTTCAGACATGCAGGAACTATATAACAGAGCCCAGATCAAGATACACAGCAGATAACAAGGCATTCTGCTTGTTACACTCCAGTTTTATTATTGGGTAGACATCCAGAATTTGTTCACTATGATAGGAAATAACCGGGAGAATAAGGCTCTGAAGGAAAAAAACCCAGTGATTTGGCTAATTTATTTATATAGCTACCTATTTGTCAAGTAAAAGTAGAAGATTGGGGATTAAACTACCATGACTCTTATTTTACAAAGGGCAATTATATTACATTACATTACATTAAAGAGAAATCAGTCCATTAGCTGAAAGCATCCTCTAAGTAAAAGAGCAGACCAGCCTGGGTTAAAGAACTACAAGGAGGAAAGCAGCGGTTGTTCAGTTGCCCATCAGTTTTTAGCACTTGGGCAGCACACAGCATACACTTATAGTTCACTTAATTGGTACCTTTTCCATTATTCTATGTCCAACAACTTAACTGAGCATATTGGTTGTGTCGGACTTAGACTGGGAAAATCCAAATACAAGTCCCCACTCAATCACAGAGTGGCATAAAGTTTTCCCTTCTGTATTTTTGAACAAAAAATTCCCAGGCTGAACATTCTTCCCCTTGTAAATCTGGGAAGACTGAGACAACACAACAACACGTTTTGTTACACTGCACCTTTTTAATACATCTCTTTAACAGTTTGCCCTAGCTATGCTAGTTCAAAGGAGGATTTATGTCAAGCTGCTTCATTCTCATATAAAATAACTTGTGAACTGTATAAAGCAAAACATTCATTAGGTTAATGCAAGCACAATAATGCTGTGTATTATTAATGCATCTGTGCTCTTTTTAAAGAAATGCTTTATTATCATAAATAATTACTATGACTATTCATGGAGCTCACTTAGTGACTTTGGGCCAGTCACGTTCTCAAAGACCTACCCAACTGACAAGCTTGTTGTTATGAGGACATTGGGGGACGCTGTGTATGCTAGCTAACACTCTTAAGAATAAAAGCATGCTAGGAAAGCAATAAGTTTCTAAATTATAGTACATTCTAAATGTGCATAGTGTACTTAAGTTAGCATATGAAAATTTTATGCTTCTCTTTTGATGTCATATCTTTACTTTTTTTTGCTGATGCACTTCCGTAAGAGGGATAATGCTAAGTAGGAGAGGAAAAATCCTGGCAAATTCAGCACTTCCTTCCCCCTCTACTATTCTGCTCAGAACAATTTATTTCTGGTAACTTCTTTTATTAAATCAAGTAGCCGTTATAAACACATAAAGTCAATGTACAATGTGTTACTAAACTATTATTATACATTCAAGCAGGCACAGCATCTGAAAATGACAATAACTAGGAAAATTTGCTAGACTTTATTGGAGAAAAGACCTAGCAGATATTCTGTGTTATTTTGCACATTCAATTTCTATCAGTTGTTCCAACGTTTACTTCCTTTTTAAAACCACTTTCTTTTGTAAATTATTTAAGCTTCCTTTTTAAACTAAAATAATTTAAGCAAGATGATTTTTCCTTGACAGCTGGCAGCTCTATAGTACAATTCATTGGTGCTGACAGCTGGAATTGTGATGCAGAATAGAAATGCATAATGCCCTTGTGGGGACTTGTATTTTAATAGGACAAATTAAAAAGCAGTCTGCGGAAATATGCTCTAATTTACGCTAGTCTCTGCCTAACAACTGTATCTGAAATGGTGTCCCTGGAATTGCTACGTGTCAAAATTAGGTTAGGGTGTATTTCACCAATGGGTAGGTCTTTGAAAGCTTGAACGAACGTGATACAGGGGGGAAAGCCGTCATCCAAAAACATATGTGACAGGTTCGGTACAAAGATAGAGATAGTTTAAACAAGTAAACAATTGAATTAGCCTATTGGTCCAAATCAACAAACCTTCTGGACAAGGGACAAGTCAGGTGATTATGACCTTCAGGCCTTTTAGATAAGAGAAGGAGCAATGGCAACAGCAGCAGCAATCCAAATATAACTGCTAATATAGCAGACGTAACACAGCAAAGCCAAGATATATGCAGTTACTGCATTAAGCAGCTTTCACACACACATACCTACACACAAGCACACGCACACTCTCCAACTTTTACCTCTTGATCAGCTACCTAAATATGATCTCATCTAGTTTTTGATTTGTACATTTGCTGTCTTTATCCCACTGAGAGAACAATTGCCCTTCAGTTATTCAAAGTCAGAGCATCGGCGACTTGCATTACTTGGTAATTTTAAACCTGAGCACCGAAGAGATGCAGCAATTTCCTCACCCTCTACGTGCCTGGTGGCCTTTACCTTTTAAATCTACATAACATTTAATCATCAATACCTTTCCTATTGGAATGGCTACTCAAAGTTGATCAGCATACCATTAAGCATGTTAGAAAAATAATCTGGCAATAAATCATAACTGACCAGAGAGCTCTTCTAATCAGAAACATTAAGTGCTTATCCCAAGCTCTGCACAATTTTATTTCTTCAGAAAAAAAAAATACTTCTCATGCTTGCTTACCTGTTCTCTTTCTAAAGCAGTCACTTAGGAGTCCTTGACTGAGGAAATGGGTTGTTACTAAGCAGACAAGCATGCACAGCGTAATCCTTGGAAACAGCTTTTACTGTTCAGCAGTAACTCTCTTGCTGCTGAGAGAAAAGGGTTAGACCTTCCTGTGCAGCCTCTGAGGGTTCAACTCGTTTTTTTCTTTTCTTTTCTTTTCTCTCTGTTAATGCCCACTTCAAAAACTAAGAAACATAGATGGGTGCACAGATCACTAAACAGGTTTTGTTTTTCTTATCTTGCATTTAGGCCTCCTCTGAATTATTTTTCCAGTTTGCTGGAAGAAAATGCAATTCCACAATCAGATAAGTACAGCAAGCTCTCTTAGATTCCCCCCCCCCCAAAGAAAATCTCTCAACATATTTTGCAATAAATGCTCACAAAGGGAGAGTATAATACGACAACCCAAATTACAAATACCTGTTTACAGTCAGGTATTTCATTCATCAAAGTGGCTGAATTTTATACCCAATACCGTATCTCTTTCCAGCACCTGTATCTTCGAGAGATTTCTTTTAAATATACCATTATTATACCTCTGTTGGTAGAGGAAGAGTATTCAGCTTTGCCCTGGAGATTTACTGTTTGTACGTATGAAGAATGATGCAATCAGCGAATCTAAATAGCAATCCAAGATGAAATTAGACAACTCAAACCACAATATTTAAAAAGCAATAGAGAAAATTCAGTTTTTGTATTATTACATGGTCTAAACTAGCACATCTTGCTTCTTACAAAAATCTGCCTTTAGTCCTTAAAAAGTGTTTTGATTTGTCCAAAACAATTAATGTTACTTAATGCTTTTCATAGGGCTATAAAAATATCAATTTCTTCAATGTTTATCAACTACTAACTTGTTGGCTTGAATCCATAGCTATCTATTTATGGCATGACAATGCTATAAAAATAATCACAATGTCACAGGTAATTCAGAATGAACTAACAAAAATCCTGAGACCATTAAGTCGTATAATGCTTATTTTGGAGTTTCCACATCTGCAGAATTCAGAAGTAAATCAGTTAATGAAAATAATCTTTAAATGTCAACCTGTGCCATATTTGGGTAAACAAGGGAATGACAAAAATAACTAGAAAAGGCTAAAATATGTTTCCATACTAAACTTATAACATACCATAAACTCCATAGTGATTTATTTTAACTATAAAAAAATGAGTCAGGCATTGGTCCATATAGTCATTAGAGGTCAAGACTACTTTGATGATGCATCTAACGTTATAAAAACAATACACCATTTTTCCAATGGACAAATATAACAGAATAACATGCATTGGTATAAAACCCCAAAACCAAATTTGTGTTGAAAAATAAAGTTTTGGAAAATAAACATTCCCTTACTTTATCTCATCTGTGGGTATTTGTAAGAATGAAATAGGCGCATGATGCAATTTATGTAACTCACATTATTTGCATGATGATGCCTATGATACAATGAATTCATTACTTCTCATACTCTTGTCTAGCAGGGAAGGGTGGGCTTGCAATACAATCTGGATTACTGCAATACACTTTATATGGAGCTGCCCTTGAAGAGCATTCAGAACTTCAAATGGTGCAGAATGCAGCTATACAGGTAATAAATGATGTTGGGTACTCAACCCATGTAATACCACTACTTCATAAGTTGCACTGGCTGCCAGTGTGCTTCTGAGTACAATTTAAGGTGCTGGTTGCCACCTTTAAAACACTTCATGGCTTGGGACTGGGTTATCCGAGGGACTATCTTTTTCCAGTTCTTTCTACCTTGCCATGTTCCAGCTTCCATCAGCGGGGAACACCAAGCGCCAAGACAGAGGAGGTATGCCTTTTCTGTCTCTGGAGATCAGAATGGCCCCAACCCTGCTGGCATTTTGTAAGGCCCAAAATACCTAGTTAAGTGCCTGGACCTGGGCCCCAAGTATGTGAAGAGCCCAATCTCCTGCTTGTTTTAACAACCATGGATTGTAATATTCTCCTCAGATGCTGCATACATTTTAAATTTTGTATTATGATGGCAATTTGTTGTTAATTTATTTTATGATTGTTCACCACCCAGAGTTACTTGCCATACAAAATAAATAAATGTATAAATAGTCTCTAAAAGAGAATTCTTAGAATTGAAGGAAACGTAATTGCTTAACTGTTGCTTTATATTCCCAGATATGAATACAAGACTGATTCACTGGGATTTATTCCCCAATGAAATCATATGGGATTGTATTGTAAAATGATTTACAGGTATAATTATCCTCTCTACTATTGTTTCAGAGAGTAAGCTGCACTGATGTTAAAGAGCATCATTTCTAAGTAAACATTCTCTCTCTCTCTCTCTCTCTCTCTCTCTCTCTCTCTCTCTCTCTCTCTCTTAAATTTATATGCTACTATCTCACAATTCAAGACAACTCTGGGGGGCTTACAATGCAATGTAAACATGCAACCAGATTGGACTATCTTAGCTTGTACATATGCCCTGTCAGAATCAGAGCAGATGTTTTACTGACACATCCAGCTTCAGAGGTACACCACTATTCTTACTTATAGTCATAAAACATGGAATTGAATAGTATTTCAACAAATTCATATTATGGGGCAATCAACCCTACATTAATACCAGTACTAACAGCTCCAAAATGATATAAATGATTGAATCAGATTGTTAATTTACACAGTACCTTCATGGCAACTTTAATGTGAGAAACACAACACCAAGGAATCAGCTCATTTGAAAGAAATTATGATTGGTAGGATTCCCTTGGGTTCTTGATTATCTCCTGGATTAAGAACCTAAGAAACAGCCTATTACAACCCTTAACAGAACTGGTCTCCTATTTTCTACAGTGGCCAATCAAATGCCTTGCCAATGGAAAGCCTAAAGCAGTGTATAAAGGCAACAGCTCACTTTCCCTATTACTGTCCCCTAGCATGGGGCAGCAGATCATGCCTTTTACATCTGAGAATCTACATCTACATGACTTGCAGGCTTCAACAAACAGATCTTCCATAAAAGAGTAAAATTATGCAATACATAATGCCACAAAATATTAAATCCACAATTTTTTTTCAGAGCTTCTATATTTTCCACTATCACCTTTCCCAATTTTATTATTGTGCAGCGAAGCTTAAAAATATCCAGTTACTATTCGTTTATATTATGTTTGCTTATGTGCTTTACTGTCACAAAATGGTGATACTATTTTAGGCTTTTTCTAAGACAGGGTAAACTAATCATATATTAATGCTTAAATATTTGAGGATATGAGAGGCAGTTTAGCATCAGGCTAGATATCAGGAGACTAAGTTCTAGTCCTGCCTTAGGCATATAGCCAGCAGCTGACCCTGAGCTAGTCAGTTTCTCTCATCCTAGGAAGCAAGCAATGGCAAACCACTTTTGAAAAACCTTGCCAAAAAACTGCAGAGACTTATCCAGGCAGTTTATGAGAATTGGACACAAGTGAATGGAAAGAAAAAAAATGACAATATACTCTATCTGTACAAAGTGTTTTGTGACCTGTGCTATAGCAGATTAAACTGAAGTTGAACTATTTCAGATGAAGTTGTTAGCTCTGAGCATTTTTTTTCCTTTTTTAAAAAATAGTACATATTTTTTTCAGTTATGATAGACTGACTGCAATGGCCTCATTCTAGGAAAAAGTGAGGAAAAAGCTGTATTCTAGAATCAAGACATTTATCTGGACGATCTATTATTTTAATTCTTTTATGAAGTATGACCAGGGTCACACACTGATCTATGCCAGGCACAAATTAGTCACATTACAGTCACACAGGAATACAGTATTTTACTTCCACCAGCTGAGAATTGTATCTGATTTTGCACAGCATGTTGAGACCATCTGGGTGTGGTTGTGACCCTTGGGAAGGAGGTCCAGATGTTTTTAATAAGGTGGCTAACCATCCTCCTTTTGGGAGGACAGTCCTCCTTTTTTGAGTTCTGTCCTCCCTCAAAAAGTGTCCTCCTAAATGTCCTCCTTTTCCATATACCGTCCTCCTTTTGGGAGGACAGTCCTCCTTTTGGGAGTTCTGTCCTCCCTCGAAAATGTCCTCCTAAATGTCCTCTTTTTCTATATTTGAAGACTAATCTGCAGGGCTTTTTTTCCCTCACAGAATGCCAGAAGGCGTTCCGGGACCTTTTTTTGATGGTTTTTTTCAACTTTTGCCTGAGCTGTGCTACTCCCCCTATTGGCTTTCGAAAGCCAGTAGGAATTGCTGCTGAGCGCGCTAAAACACCCAGGCGGCAAACTTTGCATGTGCAAGTTGCAGGAACTTTGCACCCCTCACTGCTACCCAACTACACATCTCTTACTTAGATCCGCAGATAGCTGGAGAAGACTGGATGGTTAAGTTTCTCTTGATCTTCCTTGTTCGGTTCTACACGGGGATGCACAGGGTAGGCGGTGGTGCTGGGGGGTGGCTGCAGGGCCGGAACCAGCGCGGCTGGTGCTTTGCGAGCCGCGGGGCCGGCTCTACGGGGATGCGAGGGTGGGCAATGGTGCTGGGGGGTGGCTGGGAGGACAGCTGCAGGGCCGGAGCCGGAGCAGCTGGTGCTTTGCCTTTGTGAGCTGTGGGGTCGGCTCTACGGGGATGCGCAGGGTGGGCGGTGGTGCTGGTGGGCAGCTGGGGGGGGGGCGGCTGCAGGGCCGGAGCTGGCACGGCTGGTTCTTTGCCTTTGCAAGCCGTGGGGCTGGCTCTACGGGGATGCGCAGGGTGGGCGGTGGTGCTGGGGGGCGGCTCAGGGCCGGAGCTGGCTCGGCTGGTGCTTTGCGAGCCGCGGGGCCGGCTCTCCACAGCAGGGCAGCGGTGCTGGCGGGGTGGCTTTGGGCAGGGGCGCGGTGGGCAGTTGACCTTCCATGGGCCGCGCCAGCTGGTGGTCAACGCAGTGCTGACCTGCACTGCCACCACCTCACCCTGCGCATCTACGTGGCCATCCTGGAGCGCCTGGCTCACAACACCTGCCTCCGCCGCCCACCCCCACGCAGTCCAGCCATGTAGATTTTTGGACAAGTGAGAAATCGAGATTGAATGTTGATACTCTAGCTGCAGCACTTGCCGTAAAATTCAATATGAAGGATATTTCTTGTTCAGATATTTCCAATATATTGTTAGAAGATGATACATTGACAAAAAATATTCATTCAATGGAAAAGTACTCATTGAAATAATTAATAGGCATGTAAGCATAATTACAATATAAAATGTTATTGTTACAAATGTTTTTTATTATGCATTGATCATATTATAGTGTATTCTGTATTATTGTTGCAATAAATACAATGTTTCTTTTATTTACGATATTTTTTTCTTCAATTTATTCGTGTCCTCCTTTTTATTGTAAAAAAGTTGGTCACCTTTTTTTTAAGCCCATAGAATACTTAATCATTTGGCCACTTAATCCATTCCCATGAATCAAAAGGAAAGAGTGTGTATGTGATTATTATGGTCATAAAATAAAAGATATGCAATCTCCAAGTTGCATTTTCTGCATCCCTGGCTTAGTATGTCATGTAAATCCAGTCAAATGTGCAATAATTCAGCAAATCATCATTAAGCCATTTTAGGTTTAGCACAATGCCTCAAGTCTCTCACAGAAAATAAAACGAATGGA